CACTTTTTTTCAAGAGGTATACAGGAAGTAAAATAAATAAAATCTTTGTTTAGTTTTATATTCAGGCATACTCTTTTACTTAGCCTAGGCCACAAGGTAAGGAGCTATTTGGTATGATGCTTTAAACAATAACTCTGCTAATCAAAGTTTCTGCCAAACTCATAGGAACTTCTGTCTCTTAACACACTTAACCACCTGTCTTAAGTCATCTAGCGCTGCTCCAACAGAAATACCACAACTAGTACGGCTTTCACAAAGAGAAATTTATTTTCTCACAGTAGTAAGCCAGAAGTCCAAATTCAGGGCATCAGCTCCAGGGGAAGCTTTCTCTCTCTTGCCTTTGGAGGACGGTCCTCATCATCATCGGTCGTCCCCCAGACTAGGAGCTTCTCTGCGTAGGAACCCTGGGTCCAAAGGACGCGCTCTGCTCCCAGTGCTTCTTTCTTGGGGGTATGAGGTCCCCAACTCTCTGCTGGCTTCCCTTTCCTTTTATCTCGTGTGAGATAAAAGGTGGTACAGGCCACACCCCAGGGAAACTCCCTTTACACTGGATCAGGGATGTGACCTGGGTGAGGGTGGTGGTGTTACAATCCCACCCTAATCCTCTTTAATGTAAAATTACGATCACAAAATAGAGGACAACCACACAACACTGGCAATCATGGCCTAGCCAAATTGATACACACATTTTTGGGTGACACAATTCAATCCTTGACACCACCAAAAACCAAACATATTATCAAGTTAAAAATGCAAAGTCCTGTAACATGTATGTATGTGTATGCTTTCCAGGAGAAGCAGATGAGAGACACAGCCCTCACGGAGAGGCAGACAGAACTGGCAGTTGGCATCAGCCCTGAATTCTGGTTTTCTGTAGGGAGAAATGCAAAGCTTCTAGCTTCTTTGTACCTGTGAGGACCACACTACCACACTGAAGGCACAAAATCAGTCCAAAGAGGCAACAAACACAATTTGACCACTTTGTGAATTTAATTCTTATACTGAAATATTGCACTAGTATCAGGTAAAGCAAATGATCCTAAAGTACGGTCCCTCACAGTCAGTCACTGAGTCACTAACATGTCTGTTATCCCTTCCACTGATATGTATGAATCACCCATGCAAACAGAAGGCTTGGTCTTCCACTGTAACAAAAACAAGAAAAAACCACTGTTGTCGAGTTTATTTCGACTCATAGTGACCCTACAGGACAGAGAAGAACTGCCCCATTGGGTTTCCAAGGCTGTAATCTTT